GTTGTTGTTGTTGTTGTTGTTGTTGTTGTTGTTGTTGTTGTTGTTGTTGTTGTCGTCTGATCACTCAGTGTTGAAGAGCACGGTGGATACTTTTTTGGCCGAATGAACTATCTTGTTATGAACTATCTTTGACTGAGTGAACTATCTTGTTATGAACTATCTTTGACTGAGTGAACTATCTTGTTATGAACGATCTTTGACTGAGTTAACTATTTTGTTATGAACGATCTTTGACTGAGTGAACTATCTTGTTATGAACGATCTTTGACTGAGTGAACTATCGTGTTATGAACGATCGGCACAAGCTTACGCAATTCCAAACAGCAAAAGTTTATTGGCCGAGCGCCTGACCTGTCCGTGTAGGGTATCTGTCACAGTATCAGATACTGCAATGATACCTACTGGAATGATATCATGTCTCATAAACCTTGTGTCAAGTGCTTTCGTGCAAGGACGGTATCATACTGGTATTGATTGACTATCATACTTTATTGAAGCGATTGTAAGTGTCCTTTAAAGGGCTTAAGTCATCAGATCATGCCGATGTATGGGGTTCCACAGGGCTCAGTCCTCGGTCCAGTTTTGTTCACCATTTATACTCAACCACTTGTCAAGGAAATAGTTAAATATAACTCAAAGTATCATTTCTATGCTTATGATACCCACATTTATGGTGCAACAATGTTTACCAACTTAGATGAACTTGTCCATCGTGCTGAAAATTGTATTGCCTTAGTGAAAAACTGGATAAACAAAAACAAATGTATGCGTTAATTGTTATAAAACAGAAGTCATTCTGGCAGGGAATGCAAAGTCTATTAATGAGGTTGACCACGATCTCATGACAATTCGTGATGCGGAAATTGCATTTTCAAAAAAGGTTAAGAATCTTGGCATCAGTTTTGATTCCAGTTTGTCGATGTTGGCGGGGATCAATCAGCTGCAAGTAGTTATACAAAATCAGTAAAATACGTCATCTAATCAATACTAAGAATATTGCTCTATTAGTAAATTATAGCATAGTTTTATCAAGACTTGATTATTGTATCTCCTTGTTATCAGGAATGTCACTGGAGGAAGTGAAAAGACTTCAAATTGTCCAAAACAATGCTGCACGTTTAGTTTTACAGAAACGAAAGCGAGACTCTGCTAAACCTCTTTTACAGACACTGCACATGTTTCCTGTTGAGAAAAGACTCGTGTACAAGTTGGTCACCCTATGTCACAAAAGCTGGGATGATAACGCGCCATCATATTTAACAAATCTGTTGAGACTGTACATTCCAACTCCCATCAGCTTACAAAAAGAAATCGATTTTACCATCTATGAAACTCAAAACAATGGTGAAAGGGTATTTGAATATCAGGACCCTAGGATCTGAAATGCTTTGCAAAGTAGTTTGTGAGAGATCTAATCCTTTAATTCATTCAAATGTCAGCTGAAGTCATTTCTGTTTTTGTAATTAATGAGATAGATATTTAGAGAAATTTTCTTTTGGTCAGAACACAATTAGATTATATATTACTTTTAAAACGCTCAGAGCCTGTGCACTTTAATAGGGGTTGAGCGCTACATCATCATCATCCAGTGCCACATCTACGACAGACATCGGCGATCATGGTTCTCCATTCATTCCTTTGCTCGGATGCTCTAAAAAAAAAAAAAAAAAAAG